TTCATGTGTTCACACTTAAGATTTTCTTCAGTATTTTGAGTTCTTTAAAAAAAAGTCTCACGTTTGCACAAATGGCCATAGAGTTTATGTTTAATTTTAATAGGTGTAGCCCGGCATGGTGGTGCACACCTGTAATCCCAGCACTTGGGAGGCTGAGGCAAGAGGATGTCCAAAAGATCAGCAAGGGCCAGCCTGGGTTACATAGCAAGACCCTATCTCAGTCAATCAATCCATCAATCAAATTTTAGTAGGTGTAATGTCTTTCAAAAGAAGTCCCTTTGATGGCTGATAGTATTTTTCCTCCCTTTATTGTTTGCCATGAATTCTTTTTTAAGCTATCATTTTTGAGATTCTGAGACATTCTAGATCACTATGTAAAAGATGGTTTATTCAATTAACTTACTTTTTTCTCAAGTATTTCTGCTTCAGTTATCTACAGAACAAGCAACCTCAAATATATTTGCTTGAAACAGTGGTCATATTTGCTTGTTGTTTTGCAGTCTGAGCTGAGTTCAGGTAGACAGTTTTCTGGTGTTGGTGATGGCCATTTGTGTGGCTGATTCCCTGGCATGTGGTCTGAAAACCAGGACCTAGAGTGACCGGGTCTCTGCTCTGTGTGGTTTCTCCAGCAAGGAATTGGACTTCCTACCTGACTCCTGAGCGTCCAAAAATCCGCAGCTGCAAAGCTTAATAAGCTTTATGCCTGGAACTAGCAGGTGTCATTTCTGCCACATCCGATTGGTTACAGCTAATCACAAGCCAGCCCATTTTTAGTTATAGTATGTTCTGAATTTTTACAGATAGAATACTTATTTTGCTGTTCTTTGGTCTTTGTCTTTTTGAAGAAACAAAAAGTTTAGTATTGCTCTTCAGATATCTCAAGCACTCTTCTTGTTTTACTTCTGATCTTATTTGAGTTCTCCCTTGAGGAGTTCTCCAAAGTGAGTCTGTTTTATGAGGAAATCTGCTGAGGCGTTCCATATTTTATATATGTATATATATTATAGTTACATGATAGTTTGACTGGATATTAAAATTATAGGTTTGAAGTTCCTTTTAATATTTAAAAAATATTAATCATCTTGTGTCCAATGTTGCTGAGAAGATATCTGATATTAATATGCTTCCTACTCCTTTGTAAATGATCTGTCATTTGTTTATTGAAAACATAATTTTTCTTCATCTCATGTAATCTTAAATTTCTCTGCAAGGTGTCTTAGAGTTGAGCTTTTCCTTAACTGTAATGCAGGACTGGGTGGGAAGCTAAGCAAGCCAGAGGTCTAGAGGTCAAAGTTTAAGGAATCACTCACTCCCTGGGTTATGCAGGTGCCCTTTAAATTTTACATCCTTGGCCAGATGTGGTGGCACATGCTCACTAGAGAGGCTGAGGCATGAGGATCATAGCAAGTTGGACACACCTGGGCTGCACAGTGAGTTCAACACTTTCCTGAACTACAAAGTGAGACCCTGTCTCAAAAAAAAAAACACCCCCAAAAAACAAAAAATCTTGCATCCTTGCATTGCCTATCTTACCTCTGCCCCTGCTACCATTTTGATGTTCTGTATGAGCTCTTTCACATGGACAGCTTTGATCTTTCTTTAATTTTTAAAAATATTTATCCTCATTATTTCTTCAAATATTTCTTCTATTTCTTTTGAATTCTAGGGTTAGTACTTCTACTTCCCATGTTGCTTAGCTTTTCTGTTTTTATTTATTTCCTGCTCTGTCCTTCTCTCTAGTTTGTGAATCTTATTTAGCTCATCTAGTTTTAAAATTTTAACTGTTGCTTTTTTATTCTAACATTACATTACTCTTGCATCATATTACTTATACCTTCTATTTTTTGAGGATATTTTTATGTTTATTTTAAATTTTTGGTGTATTAGTTTAGTATTCTGCTTTACATCATACATAGCAAAATTTTCTTTCTTTTACAGAGTGTATAGTTTATTATAGGTCATGCTCCCTCTAGGGGATCAACAGCCTTATGTGAGTAAAATATTAATATCAGGATCTGGTTTGTGTGTCTCCTGGTGAATTTAGGAAAAGAAAATGAGATTCAGGCTGGAGAGCTTCAGACATCACAGAAATAGTTTTGCCCATTGCCAGCTGCTATCTACGGTAGGTCAGTCATCTGGTCAGTAATCCCCACCACCACCACCACACACCCCTCTTTACGTTGTTCAGAGAGGTATCAAGGAGACAGAGCTGCTAGGAGAATAGGGGAGGAGGAGATGCCCAAGGGGCAGCGTGTGCCCATTTTCAGCAGTTCCTTATCCTGGAGGGACATCTATGCTATTCTAGCGTTACTGTGTGGACAACAGGTGGTTAAGCAGTTAGTGATCCCGTGGCCCTGCGGCAAGCAGTGAGTCCTTCCAAGGCCGGGGAGGGGAAAGTAAGAGCAGATTTTATTTTTTTTATTTTTATTTTTTTTGGTTTTTCTGCAGTACCGGGAACTGAACTCACGACCTTGCGCTTGCCAGGCAGGCGCTTTTGCCGCTGAGCTAAATCCCCAGCCCCCAAGAGCAGATTTTAAAAGCTGTCTCTCAACCTATTCTTTCTGGGCTGCCTCTGAAGCTTCCTACCTTCCAGCCCAAGCTGCCACCAGCTCTGCCTGCTAGGCTGCCAAACCCTTCTCACCAGGTTGCTAAAAGCTTTGGTTTTCTCGCCATTTTTGATAGGCCATTGATTCCAGTTTTCTTCTCCCTTCTATGGTTTCCCCAGGACACAGCTGAGGTAGCCCTTAGCTAACTTTGAACTATCTCTGTAATTTGACCTCAGCATCCTACAGGCTTCATAAATATTTTCCCTAATCTTCGTAATTCTGAAAACAAATGACCACTATTCCTATTTTAGGAAGACATTGAATCTCAGTAAGGTTAAGTGATTTTTCCAAAGTCACATGGCTAGAAAATATGCTAAAGCCAGAATTTGAAAACATGCCTACTGAAGGGATCTGACCACCGCCATCCCCGTCTGAGCAGAGCCCACTTTAAACCCTTCCCCTGCTGTGCTTTCACACCTGCCGCTGATGTACCATCGTGAGTCGGTAAGGCCGAGTGCGCATGGCAATTCCCAACCATTGTTCGGCCCTGTTCTCGACAAACAGCGTGCAGCTCCTTGTACATTCTCAAGCCTGGTCCCAGGTGGGTACAACTCCTTTCTGCTGAACTCTCGCCCTTGAAAGTCCCATTGTGACTTTTTCTCTATACCTTTTTTATGCTCATGATCCTGTAAAGACCTTAGGGCCTGTACAGGAATTAGCTGGTCTGGTCTCTAATGCCAGAGCACTCCCTCTCAAGTTTGTCCTGGAATAACCCTGTCCTGTTGAGCTCGTATCCCTGCTTCTCTCCCTTTTTGTCTTAACACCTTTTACCAACCCCTCTCCTTTGGAGGTAGTGGGTGTATGTAGCTCAGTGGTAGACTACTTGTCTAGCATGTGGCAGGTCCTGAGTTCAAACCCTGTTACTTCAAGAAGTAAACAAACCATTCTGTGGACACTTCATTAACCCCACATGACTAATGCTTTATTTAGAGTTGCTTTATTTTATCTCAGAAGTCACCAAACTGTATTTCTGAGAACACTAATGCTTTGTGAGCTAAAATATGATATTCATCTAAAAATGGAATTTTTTTCTCAATTTGCAGGAGAAAAAATATAAATTATGGATAGAATTTCCTTGGCGTTATAGTTTATTAAATCCTCGGTACCTGCTGTTGTGTATTAGTGAGTCCTATGAAAAGGTGATGATTAGGTAGACAGTGAGTTCTGAGTAGCTGATCTCAATTAGAAATCAAGAAAATTATATCAGTTATTTTTTTTCTGCTGTGAGATTTTTTTTAAAATATCATTTAATGTATAAACATTTGATACTCATCATTCTTGCTAGGGAAATTAATTTATGTCAATATCTGAATATCAGTTTGAAATCATGAATGCCTAATAGTGTAAATTTACTAACATTATCTTACATAGGAATTATGGCTTATTTTAAAGATGTGATTTTTAAATTAAATTTTCTTTCATTTTTAATGGTTAATATATGAATATGGTACAAAATTCAAATGACAAAAAGTGATAGACAATGAAAAGTGAAACCAGCTCTCTCTGCCTCTGTTTAGTCACTGAATTCTCTCCTTTGCAGTAACCGCTGTCACTGGTTTTTTTATATCATTCCATATACGTGCTAGGTATACATAAACTGCTATGTCCATATTATTTAAAAGGGAGTTTAAATTTTTTTCCTTGACAAAATGCTTCATTAACTTTGATTGTCAGTAGCAGTTGGAAATTTCTGATTCTTTAATGGTTTGCTAAAAGTAAAGCTAAAGCAAGTTCTTAAAATTAAACATGTTAAACATGTACCTCAGAGAGACCAATATAATGAATGCCTATATCCTTATCACTCAGATTGAGGTTATTCAAATGTGATTTTAAAGGGCTTAATATTTGTGGAAAATGTTTAGAACTTATGTCATTGTGTGAAATGAAAAATATTGCGTGTTCCATTGCAACTACAGCAGTCCATTGTCTTCCAGTTCATTCCGCAGTTCTGCTGGGAGCAACTTGAGTGTAGAATTCCTTACTGCTTGGCCACAACTACAGATTCAGCAAAAAATTTCCTCATATTCTTTCGAGGAGTGAAAAATAATTGACAAACAAATTATACTTATGTTTTCCCTGAAACTTACCCATATCTATGTAAAAGAATCTAACATATTAAAGCCAATAGCTTTTAATATAATTATATTACTATTAACATTAGTTTAAAATATAAATCATTCCACACATGGGGCTAATTTGACTTGGTTCTTTTCATGGAGACAGATGGTGCATCCATTACTTTATTATCTATAAATAGTGGGTAAGTAACCTTGCATACTTGAATTTCATTTTGGGCATTTTTATAAAGAATGAATATTAGGAATATCAATTATATTCCTATAGACAAATCTAATTATTTCCTGACTTCACAGAAATCTCTTTTCTTTTTCTTAGTTCCACTTGCCTGTCCAGATGCATCAACAGAACTTCAAAACAATTTTATAGAATATATCTCTTTTATACATCAATATGATGCCAGGAATTCTCCCAATGAGCCCATCCAGGGAAAGGTGAGACATTATTTAGAGTTATTTAATACTTCACAACAGATTTATGGTAAAACTTTAAGGCTTTTCAGTTCATAATCATCTTCATAAAAGTTTATTTAAATAAACAAACAGTTATTAGTAGGATAGAATCTCAACTATATCCCATACTAAAAATCAAGGAATGATGTCATAATTTTGAATCAGAGTTTGGGTATTTGGTTTACTTAAATTACTGAAATTATTTGATTAAGATAATATTAGGGGGCTGGGGATTTAGCTCAGCGGCAAAGCGCCTGCCTGGCAAGTGCAAGGTCGTGAGTTTGGTTCCCGGTACCGGAGAAAAACCAAAAAAAAAA